CTCCTCATCTCCTGATAATAAAATCAGAAAATCTAAAAAGAAACCAGAAATATAAAAAAAATATATGTAAACAAACCAGACAAATCAAGAGAGACAAAATTTGAAATCAGGGATACAAAGAACATACTAGAAACGCAAAGAGACTAATCCAGAATTTACTAGCAAGATATAGAAGGGTATTGAGAGATTAGGTGACTTTCAAATCAAACCTTTCAACCAGCTTTGATTCTCAAATACAGAACCTCCCTCTACATCTTATGGATCTGCGAAAATCTCTCAACTCTTTCATTGATATCGATTTTTTGATGATTTTGTAGAGAGTTTCATGAGGGTGTTTTAGAGAGTGCAGGAGGGTTTCAAGGAGGGAGAGATAAGGTTTTCAGAGACGGGGGAAAATCTGAAAATTTGTCGAGCGCAAATTCACTTAAGTAGCCTTTTTTTAGCGTGTTTTAAAAGACGACGCTTGTTAATGAGAGATAAGATTTTCAAAGACGGGTGAAAATTGAAAATTTGTCGAGCGCGAATTCACTTAAGCAGCCATTTTTTAGCGTGTTTTAAAAGACGACGTTTTAAAAAAAAACCGTCATCTTTACATATAATAGACGACCATTTTTTTTAAAAAACCGTCGTCTTTACATATAATAGACGACGGTTTTTTTATAAAAAGCGTCATCTTTACATATAATAGACGACCCTTTTTAAAAAAAACCGTCATCTTTACTTCACAATAGACGACCCTTTTTTACAAAAAAAACGTCATCTTTACATATAATAAATGACCCTTTTTAAAAAAAACCGTCATCTTTACATATAATAGACGACAGTTTTTTCAAAACAACCATGTCTTTACCAAAAAAAGGACACTTGATTTTTAAAAGACGACGCTTGTCATCTGCCGTCGTCGTTTTTTGGTCAGATTTTAACTCTGAAGAAAACCTTTTTAATAAGACGACGCTTTTTTATTTGTGTGCGTCGTTATAAAAAAAATAATTCAATAGTACCTCCGTTTTTTAGTTGTTTAAGTCACTTATCCACGACGGTTTTTTTGTTACCGTCATCTTTTTACACACAACGACGGTTTTTTCTTCTACCGTCGTCTTTTTCTGGTCGTCTTTTTCACTTTTTGTAGTAGTGTTTGATTTCATCTTCTTCTTCCTTCTTAAACCCTAATTCTTTGTTACTCTCAAACACTCTTCAATTTCTTCTTCGATTTCTTTGCCTTCTTGTTGACAATGGTTACTGCTACACAATTAGTTCTTCCTCAATCTCCAATTTCTTCTTTGATTCCCAGTACGATTAAGCTCAATGATACGAACTACGTTACCTGGAATTTTCAGATGGAGCTCTTGCACAATGGCCATGGAATTCTAGGGTTTGTTGATGGCTCAACGCCATGTCCAGATCAGTGTACTGGTGCATATGCAAATCGCACAATTTCTGAAACCTATCAAATCTGTAAAATTCATGACAAGGTTTTGATGATCTTGCTTACTGCTACGCTGTCCTTTTCTGTGATTTCCTGTGTTATTGGGAGTCACACATCTCGTGAAATATGGCTCAACCTCAAAGAACCCTTTGCTAGTGTTTCTCGCACTAGTATTTTCCAAATGAAGACTGATCTTCAGAACATCAAGAAAGGCCCTGAGTCTATTGATCAATATCTTCAGAAGATTAAAGATTCCAGAGATCAACTTTCGGGTGTTGGGGTTGATATCTCTGATGAAGATATCACCATTCTCACTCTTAAAGGTTTGTCTACATAGTACAACACTATTAAGGCTGTTATTCGTGGACGAGAGAGTATTTTGTCTATGAAAGAGCTTCGTTCTCAGCTCAAGGCAGAGGAATCTACTCTTGAAGAATCTGCTCGCCAAATTCCCTTGCTTTCTGCTATGGCTGCAACTCCTCCAGTTTCAAGTTCTATGCCTTCTTCTGGTATGCCTTCTGCTCCTAATTCCTCTGCTCCTATGCAACCTGTGCAATATGCTTCTTCTCCATCCTTTGGTTTTCGTGGGAATAATTTTCAAGATCGTGGTAAAGGCAGAATGTCCTATAATAATTTTCAAAGATTTCCTGGTAAATCTGGTCTCCACTGGAATTCTTGGCAAGCCTCAACATTTTCCTCAATTTTCTAGGTCTTCTTCTCTGCCTACTTGCCAAATTTGCCACAAAAGGGGTCACGTTGCTCCTACTTGTCATTACTGATCCACTTCATCTCACATTGTTGATGTCGAGCCTTGTCAGATTTGTTGGAAGCGCAATCATACTACTCTTACCTATCATTTTCGAGATAGTTATTCATCTTCTCCTCATATGAATGCTATGTCTACTCAAGTTTCTTCTTCTCCTCACCATGAAGTTTGGATTGCAGATTCCTGTGCTACAAACCATATGACTGCGGATATTTCTAATCTGTCTTCTCCTACTCCTTATTCTAATTCTAATGCTATTACAGCTGCCAATGGTGAAGGTTTAGCAATTGCGCATATTGGAGTTTCTACTCTTTCTACTCATAATCATACTTTCAGACTTAACTCTGTTCTTCATGTTCCTCAATTATCTACTGGATTATTGTCTGTTAATCAATTGTGTAAGGAAAATCAATGTCGATGTATCTTTGATTCTACTTGCCTCTATATACAGGACACAGTCACAGGGAACATCCTTTACAAAGGACTGAGCAATAATGGGCTTTACCCCATGCCTCGGCCTCTCAACATTGGTGTGCTTCTTCTACTGCCTTCCTTGGGAAGAAAGTTACTTCAGATTTATGGCATTGCAGGCTTGGCCATCCTACTAACTCAGTTGTTCAACTTGCATTGGATCACTCTGGTCTCTCTACAACTTCTACTGCTTCTGCTGTTTGTGAAGCCTGTTTGAAGGGCAAGTTTACTAAGTTGCCATTTCCTTTAGTTCCTACTAAGTCTGAGAAACCCTTTCAAATCATACACATTGATCTTTGGGGTCCAGCTCCTTGTATTTCTCTTGAAGGGTATAGGTACTATGTGTCTTTCATCGATGAATGTACTCATTACACCTGGATTTTTCTTTTAAGAAATAAATCAGAGTTTTACGCTCATTTTGTGCACTTTTACTCTTATGTGCTGAATCAATTTGATACTTCTATTCAAGTTTTGCAAAGTGATGGAGGAGAGGAATATATTGGCACTCAACAGTTTCTAGCTTCTAAAGGCATATTACACCATCGATCTTGTCCATATACACCTGAAAAAAATGGATTGGTAGAATGCAAAAATAGACATTTAGTGGAAACTGCCATCACCTTATTACAAACTGCAGCTTTATCTTAGAAATATTGGTTTCATGCTTGTGCAACTGCTGCTTATTTGATCAATAGATTGCCCTATCAACCTTTGCATATGAAAGCACCATTTGAGGTATTGTTTGGTTCTTTTCTATCTCTGGCTCAACTCAAGATATTTGGATGTGCATGCTATATCCATTGATGAAGCCTTATAATCATACTAAGCTACATCCTAAAACTACTCAGTGCATCTTTCTTGGATATGCTTCTCAGTACAAAGGATATATTTGCTTTAATTCTCAAGCTAACAAACTGATTGTATCTTGACATGTCCTCTTTGATGAGTCTCTTTTTCCTTCAAGACAATCCAAGGACAAGGTAGTTTCTAGAGCTCATATCTTATTGTCTACTCCTTGTTATCCTCCGTGTACGCCTCCTTATTTCTCCCATGTACCATCTGTGGACTCTATTGTCTCAGTGTCCTCATTAGATTCTTCATCTTCAGCTCCACTTCCACCCGTTTATGAGCTTTCTAATTCCAATGATGTGTCTGATTTTGCTAAAGCTTCTGTTTTTGGTGCTCCCACTTCTCAAACAGCTGATCTGCAGTATATTCTTCCTCTTGCTCCTCAAAATCATCATCCCATGTAAATCTGGTATTTTTAAACCTTAAGCACTTCTTACAACACATGCGGCTGTCAATGTGGTTTCTGAGCCTCATACTTTTGTCTCAGCAGTTAAGGTTCCTCAATGGCAACAGGCCATGCAAGAAGAAATAGATGCATTGAAAACTCAAGGTACTTAGACATTGGTACCTCTTCCTCCTCATCGTAATTTGGTGGGATGTAAATGGGTTTATCGTATTAAAAAGAATCCAAATGGGTCTATTGCTCGGTACAAAGCACGGCTTATGGCTAAGGATTTTTCACAAGAAGCTGGTTTAGATTATTCTGAGACTTTCAGCCCTGTCGTTAAGCCTTCTATAGTTCGATTAGTTCTCGCTCTTTCTGCTACTTTTGGATGGCAATTACAACAACTTGATGTGAAGAATGCCTTTCTTCATGGCATTCTTCATGAGGAAGTATATATGTCTCAACCCCTTGGATTTATTGATTCTGAAAATCCAAATCTTGTGTGTAAGTTGCACAAGTCCCTTTATGGCCTCAAGCAAGCTCCTCGAGCTTGGAATGACAGATTCACTCAATTTCTTCCCTCTCTTGGCTTTAAGGCTTCTCATGCTGACCCTTCTCTTTTTGTCCTCAAGGAGGCTGATTCTTTAGTCTTTCTCTTGTTATACGTAGATGATATCATCATCACTGGCTCTCATTCTACTGTTATTCAAATGGTTATTGATCAACTTTCGAAGGAATTTGATATGAAGCATCTTGGAGCCCTTCATTACTTTCTTGGTCTTCAAATTCAGTATCCATCTAATGGCATTTTTATTCATCAGTCTAAATATATTCATCATGTGCTTATGAAAGCTAATCTTTTGGATTGCAAGCCTTGTGTTATGCCTTATCATCCCAATCATAAGTTGCTCAAAGACGACAATTTTCCTTACTCAGATCCTGCTCATTTTCATAGCATTGTTGGTGCCCTTCAATATCTCACATTCACGCGTCCAAACATTGCCTATGTTGTGCATCAAGTGTGTCAGTTCATGCATTCTCCTTTGGATACTCATTACCTTGCTGTTAAACGTATTCTTCGATATCTCAAGGGTACTATTGGTCATGGGTTGCTGTACAAGAAAGGCTCTTTGGATCTGACTGCTTACACTGACGCAAATTGGGCTTGTGATCCCAATTATTGTCGATCCACAACTGATTTTGTTGTCTTCTTAGGTTCTAATCCTGTTTCTTGGTCCTCAAAGAAGCAACAGTCTGTTTATCGATCCTCAACTGAAGTTGAGTATCGTGTTATGGCTGTGACTGCAGCTGAGGTTGTATGGTTACATTAGCTTTTATCTTATTTGCATTGTCCTCTTATCCAGAAACCAATTTGATGTTGTGATAATCAGTCTCCTATGGCCTTAGCCTCCAATCCAATTCTTCATTATCGTGCTAAGCACATAGAGATTGACTGTCACTTTGTCCATGAAAAGGTCACTCGTGGTGACTTGCATCTTCAACATGTTTCTTCTGCCTAGCAGGTTGTTGATGTGCTTACTAAGGGCTTATGTTCTCCTTCTTTCACTTTTTATTGTTCCACCCTCATGCTTGGCCCTCCTGTGCATGAGGTTGAGGGGGGATGATAGAGTATTACAGACACTTGTACCTATGATATGGTGACAAGTGTCATATTGTGATTAGTTGAGTCTAGAGTTTTGTTATAGGTCTGTTATGAGTTAGTTAGGCTAATGAGTTATATAGTAACTGTGTTTGTAATACGATCATTATCAGAAACATAATAACAAAAAAATTCTATTCTTCTTCTAAAATTCTCTAAAACTATTCTTCTATTTCTTTAGTGTTTTAAAAAAGAAGATGGTCATTGCTCACATCTCATTTTTTTAATAAAAAAGTAGGATACATTTTTATTTTATTATCCTCAGTTTCTAACGTCATTGCTCACATCTCTTTTTTTTTTTATTTTTTTTATAATAAAAAAGTAGGATATATTTTTATTTTATTATCCTCAGTTTCTAAATTTCGGTTTTTACTTAAAAATGGTGGAAAGAGAGAACACAAAAGCAAAAGTTCATAAATCACGTTACAACTTACATATTTCCTCTCTACTTTTATTTATTTATCACTATTATATATTCGGAAGAGCAGGGAATATGTCTGTTGTATGGCAAAGATGCTGACTATATTGCACACAAAGTTATGTATGATTTTTTGGATGAAGCAGAGGGCTTTGTAGATGAAGCCTTTTTTTTTGGTCGAATAGTTTAGTTTGGCGTTTTGTTTTGGTCGAATAGTTTAGTTTCGTTTGGGCACTCTCCAAATAGGCTAAACCGGTAGGCAATGTAAATTATGATTTGATATAGAGGATTAGATTGGACTAGTAAAATGCTAAGATTTTATGTCCAATCAAAGAAAAGTATGGGTGTTGTGTCTTCTAACTTAGAGGATTAGGATAGACTATTCATAAGAAGTTGATGCCTAAAACTTATCCCTACTAGTCCCACCATTTTTAAGGGATTAGTGGAGATAGGTTTTAGACATAAACCTCATATGAATAATCCACCTTAATCCTTCAAGTTAGAAAACAACATCTATATTCTTCCTTGATTGCACATGAAATCTAGTCATTTTACTAGTCCAAGCTAATCCAATCTAATCCTCCATATCAAACATGGCCGATTGATTAACGTTGGATCAAATTAATCAGTTTGATCAAACAGTTAAGAAGTAGGATCTCATTTAAGGGCTTAGATAAGGCCCTCGATGCTCTTTCTCATATTCCCTCCCCCAACATTTTGTTGTAAACTTGGTAGGCCTAGTTATGACTACCCATGTAAAAGAAAATACAAAAGCATAACTTTATAAATATAATAGGACCATTCACTTCTCTTTTTCCGTCTCTGATTATTTCTTGGGTTTTGTCAGTGCTTTTCTTAGTCAAGATCAAGAAAGAGTTCGATGGCTTGTAAGTTTGAATGCTTGGACAATTCCTCTCTACTTCTACTTTTCCTTTTTCCCTTTTCGTAATTTCCTTTGTTTTTCCGTTTTGCTTTTAGTATGATTGCTAAAATATGATATAGCTATAAGTTCTGCCACTTTTTTCTAGATCTCATCTCATCCTTCGATCCTCAGGTGCAACGTTTTCTAGATTTCTTTCTTAATATTTGCTGATAAGGCGATTAATATCTCAGCAGCTTCTTTCTTGATTTGGAGGGTACTGTCTCTAACTTTTTAGCGCTCTCTCTCACGCACACACTCGTCTAACTCATTAAAATGGAAACTCAATAAAGGAGCAATTATTATTTTCAAAAACCAATTTAATAACTTAACCTAGTTGAATAGGTTAACCTAGTAGCATATACCTTAGCAAAAAACTTTTAAAAAAAACCTAGCAGCATATAGGAAATTATGCTCTGCTCGGCAAAAAAAAAAAAAAAGAAGAAGCAATTTATTGAATATCCACGGTGGAAGAACAAGAAGGTAAAATCCACAAGACTATTGATTATATTTTCTATTGAAAAAGACATGGTTGAAAAAGTGGATTATGTCAAATTAATTGATACTTTGTCATCGAAAAATGCAAGACGAGTGATATTTAAGTGATGTTTTGATGCATTTTATAAAGTTGTTATGTGGATTATATTTTGTTTGTTTATTTTTATGTTACAATTTCCACATTTTGGTGGTTCGTCTAGGACCTCCAAAACCTTAGGACTGCGGCTGTGTTAGGCCCAATGTTGGAGATGACAGACTTTTCTTTTCTTTTTCTTTTTTTTGGAGAATTAGCAATAGATAAATACATTGCATTGGGGAGGGGGGCACTTATCTTGGAATTCGAACAGGTGACCAATGGGGGAAGGGGGGAGGGACCTCACTGCTGAGGTAAACCCCTCGGTTTGGAGATGACGGACTTGGTTGAGAGAAAGAAGTTCTTCCATTTGGCAGGTCCACCTCACTGTAAATTTATGGCCCCTACATTTCCCATTTTCAATTGGTTTTGTGTATTGCATTTTATGAATATGTCTTGCCAAAATGATCGTTGGTTTTGTTGATTATTGCCTGAGGATGTCCTGGTGCAGTTAAGCCTTTGGTTGATTATTGCCTGAGGTGTGAGGATGTCCTAGTACCAAAAGTAATAAAACGAAAAGAAAATACAAAAGTTACTCAACTCAATTTAAAAAAAAGTTACTCAAGAAAAATTCCAACAGAAAAGCAAAAGTTTGTACGTAAAGCGTGTATTTGGGGCACTATGTTACTTTAAAAAAATTATACTATATTGATATTATATTAAGCTCAAGTATTGTTTGTTAGTCTGCAAATCAAAGACTCTTTTTCTTGATCGTTTTGTCGCTTTGTGCAAGCAACTGCTTTCTACTCTCTTTCTTTCTAAACTGCTTTCTTCTTGAAGGAGAACCCCATTCATCTCAAATATCAGATTCTCTTTCTTCTATATCTAAATACTCACAGACATAATTATAGCTCTGGTGCATTCAGAGAAAGAGAGAGCTATGGAGTGCATTGAGTTCTTTCAAGTTTTCATCACGTGCTTCAGATCATTAACATCTTCTTCTTCTCCTAGTTCTTCATCTTCTTCTGCTGCTGCTGCTGATACTGATATCCCCCCTCTTCAAGATTCTAGTTCTTCTGTTGGTGCTGCTGATACTGCTATCCTCCCTCTTAAAGAAAGGTACGATGTGTTTCTTAGCTTCAGAGGTGAGGACACCCGCCTTGGTTTTACCAGCCATCTTCACAAGGCTTTACTTGGGAAGAAAATTGAGACCTACATAGATTACAGGCTTGTGAGAGGAGATGAAATTGCGCCTGCCCTCCTCGAAGCAATCGCGAGATCTACGATTTCGGTAATCATTTTCTCAAAAAACTATGCTTCTTCCACATGGTGTTTAAAAGAACTTGTGCATATACTTGGATGCAAGAAAAGATATGGACAAATTGTTATACCCATTTTTTATGGCATAGATCCATCAGATCTACGAAATCAGCAGGGAACTTGTGCACTTGCACTTGATGAACTTGAAAAACGTTTCAAGGGCAGTAGGGATGAGGTGGCCAACTGGAAGGCTGGTTTGAAGGAAGCATCCTATATTTCTGGGTTTCATTATTCAAGTAAAACAGGGTATACGAAATCTCTAACTTGTATCAATTTCTTTTTGTGATAATTTGATTCATATACTTACTATTGTTTGTCTTTCATAATGATATTTGCCAGGAGGACAGAGGCCAATTTTGTTGAGGAAGTTGTTCAAGATGTTTTGACCAAATTGAATAGCGAATCGTCAGGGGATTTAAAGGATCTGGTTGGAATTGAAAAGAAAATTGAGAAAATTGAGTCGTTATTATGCTTGGATTCACCAGGTGTTTGCTGTGTATGTATTTGGGGCATGGGTGGTATTGGCAAGACCACCCTTGCTGATACTGTATTTCACAGGCAGAGGCAGTCCTCTAAATTTGAAGTTTGTTGTTTTCTTGCAAATGTCAGGGAGAAATCAGAAAAGACGGATGGACTACATCAGTTGCGAAATAAACTTGTTGGTGAGATATTAAAGCAAAGAGATGTAAATATCGACACTCCGTCTATACCACCTCATATTCAAGATAGGCTCAGGCGTACAAAGGCGCTCATTGTTCTTGATGATGTGAATGCTCGAAAACAACTAGAATATCTTGTTGGTGATGATGATCGGTTTTGCCAAGGAAGTCGAATCATTATAACTGCTAGAGATAAAGGCCTACTTGAGCAAAAAGTTGACCCTGAAAAGATATACGATGTTGTGGGATTAGATTCTGATGAAGCTCTTGAGCTCTTTCATTCGCATGCTTTTGGAAATAAGTCTCCGACAACAGATTACACTGAGTTGTCAAGAGAGGTGGTGGATTATATTAAGGGCATTCCATTAGCTCTTAAAGTTATGGGGTCCTCATTCCGTCGTTGCAAGAGCAAACAAGAGTGGGAAGTTCAATGGAAAAAAGTGAAACAATTTCCAAACGAAGAAATCGATCAAGTGTTGAGAATAAGTTACGATGGATTAGAAAAAAATGAGAAGGAGATATTTCTTGATATGGCATGTTTTCATAAAGGCCATGAGAGGAAATATGTAGAAAGAATGTTAGATAGTTGTGGTTTCTTTGGGGAAACAGGAATCAATGATCTTATTGATAGGTCTCTCATATCAATTTCCGAATGGAACGGCATAGAGATGCATGATTTGGTGCAAGAAATGGGTAGGGCAATTGCTCGAGAACAACGCAGTAGGTTGTTCAATGATGAGGATGTCTATCAAGTATTGACAAATAACCAGGTACATAGTAATATTCACATTTACAATAAACAAGCCAGATTATTCCTACAAATGTAATTTTGTATATTATATTTACATTTATATTTTGCTCTTGATTGTCAGAGAGATGGACATGTTCAAGCAATATCCCTTGACTTGAAATTTCACTTGCATAAGATGGAAAAACTACACTTGAACTTCGAAAAGATGTATCAACTGAGATTCCTATGTGTCAGGCATTATAATAGTCTTATGGAATTTCAAGGTGATCGCAATGGTATTGTTTCTCTTGATCTTCTTCCCAATTCTCTTAGATGTCTTCAGTGGATGGACAGCGATCCTTGGAAATCTTTGCCATCAAAATTTTCTACTCCAAATCTTGTTGAGGGGCAACTTTGGAATGAAGACCAGGTATATTATATATGCTTATTTTAGTTCTTGTATAACATGTGGCCTAGAAAGTAATAATCTGCAAGCTAAGTTATTAATTATTGTTTAATTTTTTACAGAGTCCTATGAACTTAAAATGGATCAATCTTGATAACTGCAGACATCTAACTAAAGTTCCAAATCTCTCTCGAAGTCTAAATATTGAGCATATAGATTTGAATGGCTGTCGAAGTTTGGTTGAAATTCCTTCGTATTTTCAACATCTTGGCAAGCTTACTTATCTTAACCTTGAGGAATGCATAAATCTCAAAAATATTCCCGAGATGCCATGCAATCTTGAATTCTTAAATTTATGTGGCACAGCAATAGAGGAATTGCCTTCATCAGTTTGGTCTCATGAAAAAATATCTCACTTAAATATTAAGTCTTGTCAACGCCTTAAGAGTCTTCCAAGCAACCGTTGTAAGCTGAAACTCTCGAGTTATCTTAGTCTAGAAGACTGCGAATCTCTTTGCGAGTTTTGGGAGCTTCCCAGTGGTACAACAATGCTAGACTTGAGTAGTACATCAATAAAAGAATTGAGGAATACATCAATAGAGTCTGTTGTTGGTCTCACTGCAATTACATTGAGCAATTGCAAAAGCCTTGTGAGTCTCCCAACGAACATTTGGAAGTTGAAATCTCTGCAAAGCATTGATCTCAGTTGGTGCTCCATATTTGAAAACTTTCCAGAAGTCTCGGAGGCTATGGAACATCTGGAGTTTCTAAATTTATCAATTACAAAGGTTAAAGAGGTACCCCCATCAATTGGAAATCTAGTTGCGCTTCGAAATTTAGATCTCAGTTATTGCCATAACCTTGTGAGTCTCCCAACGAACATTTGGAAGTTGAAATATCTGGAGAGCCTTGATCTCAGTGATTGCATTAACTTTCAACACTTAACAGAAATCTCAGAGGCTATGGAACATCTGGAGTTTCTAAATTTATCATTTACAAAGGTTAAAGAGGTACCCCCATCAATTGGAAATCTAGTTGCACTTCGAAAATTACACATGGTTGAGTGCAGTATTCAAGAAATCCTTGATGACCTCTTTTGCTTAACCTCATTACAAGAGTTAAATCTGAGTTTGACCGAAATTAAGAGCATACCTGCAAGCGTCAAACAAGCTGCTCAACTGTCTTGCCTGTGCCTCAATGGTTGCATGAGCCTTGAATCTTTACCAGAGTTCCCCCCATTGCTGCAACGTCTTCTAGCAGATGGTTGCACGTCACTGAAGACAGTGTCAAGTTCAAGCACTGCAATCACACAAGGTTGGGAAGAATATATATTTCATCTAGGGCTTTATGAGAAACATATATTTTCTAATTGCCCAAAGTTGGATGAGAATGCACAAAGCAACATAATGGGTGATGCACAACTCAGAATTATGCGAATGGCAACTGCGTCGTCAAAGTTTAAAGAAGACAAAATTGAACAACCATCATATGATTCAGATAATAGCAACGATGACTATGAGGTCTCTCTCTCTCTCTCTCTCTCTCTCTCTCTCTCTCTCTCTTCTGTTGAAGAAGTTGCTGTTTGCTTTTCACGACTTTAATAACTATGATGTCCATATCCATGGTACAGGAATCTTTACGCAAGAGATCTTTTGTTGCCATTTGTTCTGGGAATGAAATTCCAAATTGGTTCAGCCATAAGAGTGAGGGATGTTCAATAAAGATTGAGCTTCCTTGCGATTGGTTCAGCACAGATTTCTTGGGTTTCGCTCTATCTCTTGTTGTTGCTGTTGATCGATGGGAATATGATCTGGACATTATATGCAAGTACAACTTCAAGGCTAGTAATGGTGAAAGCCATGAAGTCAACCATCCTTTGTATGCTCGTGAATATAACAGAGATTCACATGAGGTGTATGTGTGGTGGTATAATAATGTCTTTGAAGAAGTTGTAGAGGGAGCTCAAAGCCTCGCTGCATTTTACAAACTTGTTACTGAGGTCAATGTTGACTTCATCGTGACTAGATTTGATGGTAGACCCCTTCCGGTGGAAAAGTGTGGGATATGTATGTTATATGGCAAAGGGGTTGAGATTAGGCGTGGGCACGGTCCGGTTTGGACCGGTTTTTGTTAAAATATGGAACCTGAACCGAAAATACAAACCGGTTCGGTTTGGACCGGTTTGGTTTAAAATTCATATCAAAATCCGAACCAACCCGGACCTGCCGGTTTTCGGTTCGGTTTCCGGTTCTCACGGTTTGGGCTTGCTGTAAGCCCAATTTGATTTTTTTGTGTATTTAAGCTTCAAGACCATCTGATTTTTAAAATTTTTGGGCCTTAAACATCACAATTGGCCCAATTCCCATATTGAAACAACCACTATTCTTTGACCAAAATAATAAAACAATCCAATATAAAATTTAAAATTACAACCAACAAGAAAATACACATAATAAAACAAATTAAATTACAATCAAATTTAAAATTATAACTCCATTCTTTTGTTCTTTTGTTGCCGCATCTCAGAAAACCGAGTACACCAAGTGAACCTAGCAGATCCATGTATTGCCATCAATAACCTGAATTTGTAGAAAATAAAAACAACACTCTAGAAACCTAGAAGTGAAAATGGATCAAGAAATGCAACAGCAAAAGAAAAATATCAGAATAATAGACCATTTTCATGATCAAAGACAACCAAATGAGTTACCTGCTTGCGCATTTTGATAACATACACTGCTTCTCTCATGTCTCTAACAACAAGGTCCACTCCTCTTTGGCTACCAAACCACAACCTCAAGACAATGTGCTTGAGCACAACTCTCAGTACAAAAGGTATCCACTAAATTACTTTAACAAGTATTTAACAAAGTGATAAAGAAACAAAAGGATGACAAGCTCCTTTATAAATTGGAAAAAGGTAATCACCTTATCAAGAGTAACAGCCAAATTCTGAAGCCTTTGGTTGTAAACACCCTCAGCCTGTCACGCAAAAAGAAATAATAAGCAAGGGAGCACCCAGGCAGGCATGATAACACCTACACACACACACACAGAGAAACAGAGATTAGTCAACAACACTCACCTGAACCTCAGCATCGCTCTTCTCAACCTCAAGATAAATATCTGAAAAATACTTCCTTTTTTCTTCCAAATTATGCTTTAAAATCTCCTCAGGAAGCTTTGTTCTTTCAAAATTTATAAACCTCACCTTCAACCAAAATGAAAGTGACAGGAGAGTAAATGATAGTTGATTTCAAAAATTACCAAAAATGAAAAATTGAGGAAGCAGGAAGGTCACATACCAAGCGAGCCGAATATGCAATCACCCAATCTGGCAGTCCTTCAGCACCTGGTGAATGCACAACACTCCAGTTAATAAAAAATAAAATGACTTTAAAAGATAAAAGAGAAGAATACCAACAACACTTCAATGGCTCCCCTCAAGAGGAACCTGAGCCTCTAAGACTTGAGTACAACAATTATTTCCTACTACCTTTTGAAAAGTTCCTTTGCCTGTCAAATTCAAGTAGCTTCCCCGGCAAACTTGGCTGCCACACAAACAAACTGATGCTTCGTATTCTTCCTTACTCTGTCAAAAAATAGATTGGCACCAATTGTTACACACTTAGTCATGTAGATTGCAATCTAGTGTAAATGAGACCCATAGGCAAAAGAGGCATACCTCTGTAACAGACCTCTGTAACAGAATTGTAGTCGAATGTGATCTCCTCCCCATATTGAATTCCTCGTACAGTGTAGATTCCAATCTGGTAACGACCATCTACAGCGGTAACGACCACCAACAAAAACAGAAAAACAGAAAAACAGAAAATCAAAAAACAAAAATAAAAAATAAATCTGCAAAGGAGAAGACATAAATCTGCAAACAACAATCGGTAACTCCTCCAGCATTGATTTTTCGCAAGGAAGGAGCGGGTAAACAGATGCACACACAATCAAAACCTAAATACCCAAACAGATGCAAAACCCTAGTAACAGAATCGAAGATGAGCTGAAAGAGAGAGAGGGAGATGAACAGTACCTGAGAGAGAGACAGATACAGAGAGCTATGCGAGACGAAGAGGTGGACGCTGCGAGCGAATGGAATCTCCGATTTGCTGGAGGACAGAGAGAGTCAGAAAATCGAATTGGGGAAAAAAAAAAGATAGAGAGAGAGAATCTGACCTGCGTGACGACGGCGACTGAGAGAGGCTGAGAGAAGAGCGGCGGTAGAGAGAGGCGTGACGTGATGGCTGAGAGAGAGGTTTGGAATCGGTGGCGGCTGGCTGAGTATGAAACGAAAGGGGAGGAAGAAACGTAATGGGATGGGAGGGGAGGAAAAAACGAAGAAATAAAAAACCCTAAGTCACTTGAGGCTTTTTTATTTTGTGTAATCCTGTGTGTGCGCTACCTATGGTAGTAGCATACACATCATACATAATTTCAAATATAAATATATATAATATAAAAAATATATATTAATTAACTCTATTGGACCGGTTCGGATTGGACCGGTTCTTTAGGGTGAAAAACCGGAACTGAAATCGGTCTGAACCGGTTCGGTTTGGATTTATTTCGGTTTTTGACTTTTCCAATCAACACGATTTTGTTCGGTTTTTTTCTGATTGGTTTGGTTCAATTTTGCGGTTTTGCGGTTCCAATGCCCACCCCTAAGAAGAAGCTTAGAACTTATACCAAATTAATGAGATTGCTCATAAGATGACCTTTCGGAAGAGAAACTTTGGCTGAGGGCGCTTTTGAGTTTGTTAGGCTTAGGGGTGTCTTTCCTGTTTTAACCCTTGGCCCTCTCCATCGCGAAGCTTTTTGGCTGAGGATGCTTTTGAGTTTAGTAATTTTCTTCATTCAATTCAAGTAATAAATTGTTAATAGTGTCATTCAAGTAATTATTATTATCAGTCCAGCCTACACATAAGTATGATCTAAATAGTCTGTGCTTGCTGAAACTTAATATTATGAGACTGGGGGCATAAAAGAGTAGATATTTTTGGAAACTCAAATCT